TAAGATAAATCAAGAATAACTTTTATCGAGGGAATAATAGAATTGTTAAAGGTGGATAATTTGAAAAGTTATTAATAACTACTTTCTCACCATTCGGATCATAATAGTACGCGTTCAACGTAGATGTTTTAACTTGTATTATACAATTACAAAAAGAAAATAATTCAGCCATTAAGGCTTGGCGCCCAACAATTGGACAGTAGCATCTTACATGAACACACGCTGTTTCCCATTCATATAGCATGACCAATAAATATTAAGAGTCGTAAAATCCTCCTCCGTAATCATTGCACATTTCATTGTAGAATTAATATGACTCAGGTGTGAATCATCTGAATATAATTTTCCTTCAATTTACTTTTTACGACAAACCACGCGTAGTGGTAGTATCTTAATAAAGAGTTCATGGATATATATATTGTATGCTATATTTTCACCTTGTAGCTAAACGTACTTCAATAATCCGTTAACCATAACATATATATAACATCTACATTCTATTATTATTCCTCTTTCTTAATTATAAAAAATATAAATATCACACATATGGCCACTTATTTTATTTCCTTCATCATCCTTCATTATAAATATCTCTCTTCATTCTTTATATCATTATATTCTCCAATATCTTTTTTTTATGACAAAAGTATAAATATCACATACATAGTCAAACAATTAAATATCTTTATATACTTTTTTTTTATGACAACATGAAAAATGATAAAATAATTAACCAGGAAACATTAATAATGTATACCAGTAGAGTCATAAAATCTTTCAACATACAAGCACATATTTTGAAAATTGCATATCTTAATTATAATGACTTAATAAATAACAATTCAACAAAACATCCATTTGACCATTTAAAAGTAGAAAAGCAGTTAAAGTTGTATGCTAGTAATATGCAAGAATATTTTGAAAATGTGAAATCTGGAATGGCGCCCGTTGATTTTATTATTTTAAAAATATTTAAATTCAGTTATGAATAAATAAACTTTATTTATCTATTACTTTGTAATAAATAAATGTAAGAAGTTGTAAAATTGTGTTGCATTTATTTGGTGTTTCTCTTGTACTTTTGATTTTTATAAAATAAAATTTAAGCTTTTCAGTCATTCACTGTTAGAAATGATCCAAAAATGATCATACGTAATAATGATATTTTTAATATACAATTGAATTTTACTTCAAAGTAGTAAAAAAGAGTGACAAATTTTGTAAATTAATAAATAATTTTTATCTCAAAGTTACAACATATTTCCATACGTTTTATGTGTTAAAAACTACCACTACATGCTCCCGAAATTTCGTATAGACTTTTATTTGAGAATTAATTTTTATAATGAATAAAGATTAATTAAATATTAATTCACACTAAAAAAGTATAGTCACAAATTTTTTTTTCATATTAAAGTATATTACATAAGCTTTAATTTAAGATGTTTATAAAAGTGTCAGTATTTCCAGAACATTATCAAAAGTTAACTTTAAAAAGTACTACTTTCAAAATGTTATAGAAATATAAAGTTAAAAATATAAAACATACCAAATGATAGGTAAATACCTAATATATCTATTAAAAAAAAATTGTATTGATCCATACACTATTCATAAAGTTATGGCAGTTTTAGAAAAAAAAAATGAATAAATGTCGAAAAGTACCGATTTTTAAATTTGTAATTTTTTAGAGATTTCCCCCATTTATAGGGAACTAGGGAAACATTTAAAATTTTTGAGGGAAATATCTTTGACTAAATACGATTTGTGATCTTTTGACGTATTGTTGAAAGAAATCGGTTCTATGAGAGCTGAGAAAAAGTGGTAACAAACATAAAAACAACTTTTTGAAAAATGTATAGATCAATACAATTTTTTTTTATAAATATTTTATGTTTACTTCTTTCATTTGATAGAATTTTTTTTTAAACAGAACCATTTTCCTTTATACAGGGGAGGTTTAAATATTAAAAAATACGAGTAAAAAGTAGAATTTTTTCAACATAATTTTTGAAAATGTTCCGAAAATACTCCAAGCTTTAAATATATGTCAAATTAAATCTTATGTTAAGTTCAAAAAAAAATTTGTTCCAACACCTTTTCTTCTATGGGTAAATGGCCGTCGAATTTAACGAAAAATGTAATTTTTATGTAAAAATCACTGTTTAAAATAAAATATTTTAATACTTAATATTTTATGATGGATCAATACAATTTTTTTTTCATAAATACTTAATGTTAATTTCTTTTATTTGATAAACATTTTTTGGAAATCTGACTCTTGATCTGACCACTGGGGGGATTCAAAATAATAAATTTTACACATAAGTTAAACTTTCTCGACTTAATTTTTATTGATTATAGGAATCAATAGGAATTAATGTAATAAAAATTACATCAACATGGGAAATATTAAATTATATTAAATCCAACCCAGACCTCGAAAATTTAGTTTGGTTAATTAATTACCAGAAATTAAACAATGAAAATAAATCAAATAAGATATTAACTTGTGGGAATTCTACACCATCGACTGCTAGGCTAGTACTAACATTAATAAAATGCGATCGTGGCAAATTAAAATCTTCAGCTATCAAAATATTAATATCAAGACCATATTTGAAGAGTGAATGTGTCAAACGTTCTATGTGCCAAAAACATATTTGTTCAGAAAACACAAAAAACGATGGTAACATAGGCATGTCTCACATAATGAACACCATCTATGAATGCAATTTTGTACAAGTAAAAAATTTAATTGACATTTGAAACACATATAAGATATAAACACATAGAACGTTTGACACATTCACTCTTCATTTATTTATTACCCATTAAATGACATCAACATGGACTTGATAAATATCAACTATCATATATAGCTATCATATCGCTACTATTTGAAGGTATATAACATTCACCAATGATAAAATAAATTATTATTTTAGCTTTCAGTTTAACCAACACAAATAATCTAAAGCCTTAAATCTTTGTCTTTGAGCCAATGTCAAGTTATTAGAAAATGTAAAATAGATAAATAATAATGTAATATTATTCATAATACTTTTGAAATAAGATTTAATGTTTTCACTGTTTCACTGTCTTTTCAGAAAGTTTAAGATTAGAGTCATTTTTGAACGGAGTGTCGGGTTTCATTAATTCGACATAACTTGACGATAATATCAAACCGAAATACATAAATAGAAGCGCAATACGTAAAATATGCAGAAAGTAGATGACATACTACATACGTGTTATCATGATGGCATTTTAAGACAAATATTTTTATTTTAAGTTAATACTTTAATATATTTTTATTTTTGAATCAATATTAGTTATTTTAAAAATTTATAATTTATACTACGCTCCGCCTAGCTGGGCCTCTGCCTCAAACCCGGAGCCCTACGAGCCGTCATCATAAGTAGGCCACTGATTCCGGTAGGAGTATCCAGGCACGATAAGTGTTTTGCTGAAAAAATATTACATAAGAATCAGTGTAACAAAAATATATTAAAAATGTTATTATTAAAATCAGGAAAATTCAAAAAGAAAATATAGTAAAATGAATTGGGTATAAGGTTGACGTTTGTTAATGAGGTATTCCCTTTAGGCCTATTCAAAAATTATTTTAGGAGGATATTTAATATTTTTTACTTTGTTAAACATGCTATAAAATTTTTTTTGCTAAAAATCAAAGTAACAATGAAAAAAAAGGACATTAGGTCCTTATTTATTAGAAGTTGCCTAAAAAAATAATGATAGCGCTGGTTCAAGGGGGGCCCATATCTCCCTTAAATAAATCCCTGGTATACACAAAAATTATTAATATTCTAATTATAATAATTGTGTTTATATTATAGAATAATTAAAAAAAAAATTCAGCAAATTATTATACATGGGACTATGTAAACAATTTTATTTTGATAAAAATATTGGTAACTGTGATTTAACGTTGAACAGCATAGTTGTCATAGATGAATCTCAATTTAAACGATAAACTCATAGACTCATACATCATACTATATGAGAAAAAAAAGATTATTAATAATGTACTGTTCTGATAATGAAAGTACAAAACTTATATAATTATAACCGTCTTAAAATTTATATATAACATATAATATTCCTCGATAAAATATGGTGCTATGTGCAAATGCAAAATAGTGTTCTAATAAAAATACATATTACATCATATAATCATATAATTAAGGTTCAGAATAAACGTATGCGCAGAAATGAGTCAATGCGCATATTAAAACCATGCGCGTGGAATTTAAAAAAAAAAAAAAAGGTCGTGAAAAATAAACGGATTGAATTGATTTTTTTATTATATCTCAGGAATGTCATTGGGCGGGTCTGATGAAAATTTCAAACCTTAAGTCATAAAACGCTGGCGTCAGCGAGCGTTTTTCTTGAAAACGGTCGACGTTTTAAAACGGACGAGCGGCAAAAATTTTTCGACCTTCGCCAATAATTTTTCTGGAGTCTGATTACCGAGTACTTTAGTAGAAATAAAAAATTTTTGAAAATCCGAGCACGGTAAGTAATTTTTCCAGAAAAGCGTTTTTTTCCTTGTTCTATTATATAATAAGATAATAAACTGTTTAGGAAAGAATAGTTGATACTTTCAATGAATCATGTTGTCATAAATAATAAAAAGTAATTTTTTTCTTTTTTTTTATAAAATTTATTTGTAAATAGATTTTATAATTAACACTTGTTTACATATGTATACAGCTCAAACGATCCAACCTAATATTGAGATACAATTAACATTATAAAATAGTAGTGTAAAACATTTAAAATTTTAGTCATAAAATCTGACTTCCATTTAAATAAATAATTAAATACAAGTGCTTGAATTTTATTAGTGATGTCGACTATTTTAATTATAATACTATCTGCATTTATTGTTATTATTGAACCATTTTATGTAATGAGTACAAAAACTTTAAAAATCACAAATAAACTTTTGGAAATCTATAACTGGGAATCTATCAAAGACGTTAACCACGTTAAATATAGTAATAAGGAATATAGTTTAAAAGATATTATTAATTTAAAAATGATTAGTACATATTCGAAATTTAGTCGTATACGATTAATGACGTGTTTTTTAGGCTGTACTTATGCGAATAGTCTAATAACAATTTTATTTTTTTACGAAAATGTGTATGTAATGTGCAAAGAAACACTTATTAATAAACCAATTTATGGTTATGATTGTATGGTAAATTTTTTGAAATCATTTCATAGTTTAGCTGTAATGTCAAATATAATGCGGAGTGCAATGAATGTTTTGGATGTACTACATAAAAAGCAATGGTCAAGTTTAATTCATCCACGATACATATTAGGAAATATTTTCGACAACTTGAACACAATTTCCGATTTTTTCAAGATTGAAAAAGTTTCAATGGATAATCCCAAAATTAACAAAACATTTTATCAATCCATTGAACGGTTTTTTGAAATAGTCAAGGAGGATTTAAATTCGGACATAAAATGTTTTTGTAGTTTAATTCCCGAGGATAATCACAGTTTATGGAACATGTTTATCAGTTTCTATGAATTTTATCCTTTGAAAAACACACCTAGCTTCCCACTTTACAAACATTTAATCGATATAATTAAGGAAATCCAAGTTTTAACTTTAGTAAATAAATTCACAAAATTAGGATTTCAGTTTAATCCTAATACCAATGAGACGAGATTAATGATTGATGTCTAAGTATATTTTTCTTATCATTATGCGATGTTCCTAATTATTTTATTCTAAATTACAAAAAAAAAATTATTTTGTTGTATTTATCATATAAAAATAATATGTTTATAACATCTGTAAAATGTTTATCTTGTTGTTTTTCTTTGATGAAAACAAATAAATTATATATTTTACAGTAGCATATATATTTTCTTTAGATTAGCAACTTCATATAAAGTTTAGCAAAGCTTATAACAAAATAAGATTTTGCTATCATAAATACAAACCTAACATGTTTTGTGGATCTTACTGGCAAAAAAAAATTTTTATTAAAAGACATAAAAATATTTGT